CTTCAAAGTGGATAAACTGGTCAAAGAGAGAGAGTCTCCTATTGCAAAATCTCAAAGATCAGACCAGGATACCATCAGGGGAGGAAACCGTATATCAATTATAATTACTCTTTTAGATTCCTGGAATTTACTCTGGTTCTTGAAATAATGGAAGGAGTATTATAATGGAACTATTTTGCAATAGTTGAGAGCAGGCTTATTCTTGAAATTACAGTATTATTTTCCTTGCTTCCTTCCATTCTCTCTTCACGTCTTCTTTCATTGGCAGAGCTGGCAAGGGTTCAACATAAAGTCCAAAATGGGTTCATCAGAACATTTTAGATAATTTCCAATGCTAACAAGAAAAAAAATCCTATCAAATTTGAATTGAAAGTATGTTGCAGTAGGATAAGCATGCAAATAAAGACTAAAACTCACATCACCTCCTTTGATTTTAAAAAAGTGGTCATCTTGAAGGTTCACAAACTTAATGCACACCATCCACAAAAGTCTAAAACAATTCATCCCAACCAAATAAAAAATAATTGAAACAAAAAATTAAAATTGAACTCGGTTTTACAGAATTTTTTTCATAATACAGTATGCCATCAAAGCAGACACTTTTTAAATATTGGAACACCACCTGAGTTACTAATTATATTGTATACACAGCAGTCTATAATCATTTATCTCAAATACCGTAGTAGTTCAGAATTTGTGGAGTATTCCAGATGAAAGTCTTTACAAGAATCGTCAAGGAAAAAAATTTTTTGAAATGTCACCAAGGCACATCATTTAAAGATTTTCAACACCCCACAAGTCAATACTGTACTCTTTTTTATCCAGAAATAGTCACTTCAACCAGTTGAAATTCCATAAAATTTCAACAACACGATTTTTTAAAATTGCAACCACAGTAGCTCCGAAAGAGAAAATAATAATTTAAAATTTTAGATTCTTCAAAATAAATTGAAAAAAAATCGAGAAACCGCATCCGTTGTTAATTATATACACAACAGTTCAAATCATTCGATTTAGCTATTTTAAAATCCGCGGAGTTACCTTAACACAGATTCAAAAGTTCTGAAACACAAGCCCAACGTCATTGAAGAAGGAAACCCTGAATACTGTAGTACCAAAGCAGGCCTTTTTAAAAAATCGCAACACGCCCTGAATAAATTATGCCATTCAAAAAAATTATAAAACCACGCATCTCAACCAGTTAAAAATTCGCGTGGTTTCAGTAACACACAGTTTCAAAAAGTTTCCACCAAGTCTTCAGAGATAAAAAAAAAAATCCTTCAATGCGACATGAACAGATTTTTCTTCCATGCATTCATTCATATGATACGTCTTGGGTTAGGATCTATTCATCGAACACGAAAACCAACCTAATCCCCCCCCCCCCCCCGGGGTAAAAGGTCTATCGGATGTTTTTGAATCTGTCAAAAAAAGTCAATCCGTTCAGGAAACCTTGTGGGGGAAAAAAATAACTCAAACTAATGACATGCGGGCGAGTAGAGACTCGTAACGCAACTAATTGCTCTCCAGCATCCAATTCATGAATTCACGACAGAACGCACAACCGCGTACACAAATAGACAAACGTATTTTGTACGCAGAATCACGCATATAATTTCTGACATTCAAATACAGGAAATCCGTAGAAAAAGTGGGGAATTTAAAAATTTGGCGCATTACAATATTAGGATATACACCAGTATTTTGTCGGGAAATCGACGCGTCTGTTTCTTCAGCTATCAAATTTTCTTTCACACACGGAATAAAAAGTTAGCCTCGTCAAATTTTCAGGAAAACAATACAGACTTTCATCCTTTAGAAACAATGATACGATGCCGTGCTTTCCAAAGTCCTAATTATTCATTTCAAATTTTCCATGAACCGAGTATGATTTCAAAACCGAAAAAATGTTTTTACTCATGTAAAGCTCATTCGATTCAATTTACAATAAAACTCATTTCACAGCAAAGCTAAAAATTCGGAGGAATTGCACTTATTTGCCGGTTAAAAAATAATCGGTTTTGCAGGCTTCGAAACATCTGATCATAGCACAAACAAAATGATGTGCGGCAATTTTTAAAAATGGAGTTTTCAAATATTTTTTAAAATTCCACCGCAAATTTCCCATCTTGGAAAATTTCCACGCGCTTTTCGCCCAAATTTGTCTTTTCCAGTTTTTAAAGCTTTCTTACCGATAAGCCAAATGTTCAAGGCGGAAATAAATTGAGGTTGTTCACATGAGCGGGAAGTTTTTTTCAAATGAAAAATGAGCCCCGGATTCGGACAGAGAAACTGGGCAACACCCAGAAATATTCAGAACTCCATCAACCGAAACGGACAGAAAAGGATCACCATTCATTAAAAAATAAAAGCAACTCACTCTCACTCTTTTACGATGCAAAATTTTTTTCTAACATTTTAATGAATGGAAATACCGAAAATTCCGCCCGAAGAAAATTTTTTTTCACGTATTGTACACAGAAAAACATAAAAGCAGGCCAAGGAAACCTTTTTCATGCAGAAAAAAACTCCAGGCTTATTCACCTTATTTTACATTTCAGAAAGAAGCGCAGTGAGCTATTTTTACTGCTGATTTTCATGACCTTTTTCTCCTCCGTCTGACATGACGAATTGCAGACAAAAGAAAAACAAGAAGAAGCATTAGCACCTAATGCTTCTTGCCAACTATATAAAAAAGATGGGTTGTCTCTAAAACATTTCGCAATCAAGGTCTTGCACTTTCTCCAGATTGAAAAATTTACACAAAGATTATAGTTTTTGGTTTTGAAATGACACTTTGGCTTATGAAAATTTTGAAATGAGTAATTATACGAATGAAACTAAAACACGTGGAATTACAGTAATTTAAAAAAACCTGCAATAGTTGAAAACGGCTCTTTGACTAGTCAACTTCGCTCTCCAGAGATGTTCTATATGTTTTTTCACCGAGTTTAATTTTTGTATCTTTCGAATTCATTTAAGGCTGTCAGTATATTGTCCACAAATTGATTCACAATTTTTAAATATCGATTTGAAAGATTTAAACCACTTTTCGAGATTTCATTTAGCGAAAGATTCAAGTATAACGCGTGAAATTTTGCGGCACAAACAAAATGGTTCCCTTTCCGCTACAAGTATTCCTTTCAAATTTCTAAATGAATAGATGGAACTTCGAAAAAAAAAAAATCCAGAAATGTTTCATGAACACTCGGGAGGAAAAATGTGTCATTCATCTCTGGGCATTTCCAATGACGACAGCTCGAGGAACACAACTTTTGAAACAATTTTCCGTATTTGATATTGCTTAAGGTCCAAATAATCTTAAGAGAACTTTTGAAAGAACCCCATGCAAATCCGTGCTTCACACGCAGTTGAAACCTAGAAGGGGACGCCCAAAGATAAGCCTGATCGAGTTTCACGCCGGGAAGAATGCGTGAAACACAGTCGGGATCGGGTTAGAAACGCCCGAAACCAGGAAGTCAAATTACAGTACAAATAAGGAGCAGGAAATACTCGGGAATTCCATCACTTTTCAAAAACCAATCAAATCATCCGAACACTGATTTTTAAAAATTAAAAAATAAACAGAAGCAATTGCAGAGTATTATTACATTTGTAAAAAAAAAAACCCCTCCACCATGAAGATGCCACCTCAGAAGGGCAAATATTCAAGCGTCGCAGAAAAGGTTTACCCAGAATGTATATCTTAATTTTTTTCCTCAACCTTACCTCACCTGCAAACCGGAAATTGTTCTCTTCTTCACAGACACACAGAAGTAAACCTGGTAATACAGTATACAAAAACTTGCAGGATTGTCGAAGAGGTTCCACGAACGAGAAAAAGTATACTCATTGTTTGCAGTAAAATAATTCACATTCTGGTGACGATATTTCTAAAAATTCAACAACTCCTCCCACAATTTTTTATCTGCGGGGGCGCGTGGAACTGGGACACAAAAACTGCATTCCCGTACAGAAAAAATCTCTTTTTCATGGCCATTCTGGCATACCAATGACAGTAATAGGAAAATTATTGAAATAAATTATTGAGAAAAGCGTGAATTCGTGAAAGAGAAAATTTAATTACGTGACAAGCAATGCAGGGCAAAATTAATGAAAATATATCAAAACAAAACTACGAATAGGCAGTATGTTCGCTCTTCATGAACACAAAAAAAGGATTCTTTCATTCGTTCTTTTCCCCTTTCAGCGAATCATGTATTCAAAAATGTATTTGACGTAAATTCACCCCAGCGCGAGGGATTAAGACTACGGTTGAAGAATGATCTACTTTCGCCTATTCTTAATTTATAGATAAATTTCACGAGCTTCTCCAAACCCATTTTAAAATTTACTAATCCTTCAACGCAACATAAAATAATTTTTTTATAATGATCCGGTAAACGGGGCAAACGAAAAATCTCTGCATATATAACTTCAACATCATCAGAAAAGAAGCCAGTTTAGGAAACATACTCAACTTTCAAAAATACCCCTCGCACGATTCTCGCGAGGGGAAGCGAAACACACGAACAAAAATCACAGGGGAAAAAGGGGGGCTTGAAAAAAAAATTTGGTTCAGGGATCTACTGTAAAAGCAAATACTGTACAATAAAAAGCAATAAAAACAAAAAGACGCAATAGAGTCGGGTTCCGGAAACGAGCACGGGTTCCCGGCTTTTTTTCCCCAGCTTGTTTTTCTTGGACTTGCCCGGCAGGAAAAATATTTGACCGGCGGTCGGACGACTGTGCTGACTTTATGCAAACTTTCTTTCCCCACCCTTCTCGCTTCATTCCCCCCTTTTACATCTCACCCTACTGATTGCGACTACTGTGTATATACAGCACTGGGTGTTATAATACAGTAGCTGGGGGGGGGGGGAAAGTCTCGTTTCCACACCTAATCCCGCGAACAAAACCAACAATTTTATCTTCTTTTCAAATACGTGATACAGCAAAAAACCGAAGGCGAGCGAGAGACAGCGAAAAAATAAAATGTTTCATCCAACAATTGTTTCCAAGAATGCTGTGGCACCTCGGTTAACAGATGCTTCGCATAACAGACTGCATGACGAACAGATTCTTAATAAAAGAAAAATTTGGCAGTTGCAGCATAATTTATTTTGGATGCAAATCAAGTTGGTTTGGATTATCTTCATTGTCTTGATTATCCTCGTTTCCGTGCTTTAAATTCACTTTTTCTATATCTTCTAAAGCTAAATAATTGAATCATCTTTTTCACAATGTGGTTTTGTTGTCTTAAATTGAAATTACAAATAAAATCATCGATCTTTAAATCTCTAGCCAGACAATTTTTATTCATTAGATATAGACTCTTCACTCGAAATAGACTCGTGTCTTTGAGATTTAAATGTTTTCAGCATGCTTTTGAAGAGCACAAAAAATAATCCAATGAGAGATTGTAGACAAGTGTCCTTATTACTTTGCATACACACAGCAATAGATATGTTGTAGAGCAAAGCGATGACAACAAGGTTTTGCAGCAAAGTCTGGTAACAGTAAATCTTGCTCCAACATAGAAGACACATGTATTTATAGATTTGTATAGGTGAGGTTAAGGTATGTGCATGGCAACATGATTTAGATCAGTGTCAACATATAATTTGTTGCGCAGCAAAGCATAACAAAATGAAAAATAATGAGGTAACACTCCAAAGTGCCATTTATGTTGTAGCCATAGCATATGACTTCATTTTACAGATTATTTTTTTAATAGTTGATGAACAACAATAACAAGAAAGAACAGGAAATAATTACGACCCTGTTTCCACCTTAATGTCAAAAATTTTTAATGGGCTATAATTTTTGAAGAGTCTTCTTAGAAGCAGGTTTTCCCTAAGCAAAAGCTGGTGGAAGCCCAAGTAAATTTTTCAGAGTAACTAGGATGTTCAAGCCAAGTTAATATTGGCTGCAGCACAGCCCATTCATCCCGAATCATTTTCCAGAACATGTAGCATTCTAAAAATGACGACATGAGCTTCCTGGCAAACCTCAGTAAAGGCAACAAAAAAATAAATAAATTGCCAAATCTAAACTAACCTGTTGGCATTTCCATTGGCTTCCAGAGTAGAACTGCCGCCTAGGCTTTGGCACGCCAAAGTCACTTGGCTTTCCGTCGCCTTCATTGCGATCTCCGTGGCGGCGTTGTCCGTTGCGGTGCCTGTCGACACTTTCCCTATCCTGTCAGAAATTAAAAAAAAAAACAAGGAAAATGAATACAGCCAATCAATGATTTCACATAGTACACATACGGTACTGTATTAGTATTCAACAATTCGCATAACAGACCCCACTTCGGATAACGGACAGCGTGACATTCGATAATCAACAGAAATGTTGAATTTGCTGCGGAAAATTTGATTCGCGACATCATTTTCAAGGGAATGAAAATACGCTTGATTTTCAAATGTTTCATAACGTTGTTTTATTTTTTTCACAGTATTTATTTTGTCCTTCGATGACTCAAAAGCGGAAGAATTGACTCTCCAAAAATATTTCTTCACGAGTAAGGCAATGATCTGAATAAAATTGAATGTTGGTCTAAAAATATATTGCATATTTCTTAAATGATTTGAGTTCATCGTCTTCAAATAAGGTTGGATAAAATGTATCAATTGCCGTTCAATTCAGAAGTCCATAACATGGTTTCATCCTCGAATATATAGACGTCAAACCGAAACAAGAAAAAAACATCAATCACAACATATTAAAAAAGCTTTTATTCACCTAATGAAATATTATAGATCAAGACCTTCCATGTAAAGTCAGGTTATTAATTTGATCGATTTATTTGGGGATTTCGAAAGAAAAAACCTGACACGACTCAGTTAACAGACTTCCGTTAAAACTAATGAAGTCTATTCAACAAGAAAATCCCTGACGCACGTAAACGTTTGTGAAAAGCAACCTGAACAGGTAAATTATTTTCGGGATTAAACTGAAGCAAAGATGAGGATCCTGAAGGAACGGATACGTGACCGGAAATTACACTTCCGACAACCGAACTATCAGTTCATATCTTCCCAGTTGGTAATGAAACTAAGGTAAATTATTTTCGGGATTAAACTGAAGCAAAGATGAGGATCCTGAAGGAACGGATACGTGACCGGAAATTACACTTCCGACAACCGAACTATCAGTTCATATCTTCCCAGTTGGTAATGAAACTACTGTATAACCTTGACGCCACAATATTGGGATAGGCGTAGAATAATTTGATTGAAAGGGGTTCATGGAACAGGAAATTCGATTAATGACGAAATCAAAGATCTCTGATGGAGTGTCCAAAAGTTCACTTGATTCTACACTACAGTAATTATATAAAACTCGTTCATTTCATATTGAAAATTAGGAAGCCTGTTCATCAGCATGCTTCCCAATTGGATTATACGATATAATCCAAGAGTAACTTTTGAAAAATTAACTTTGGCCGATATCAATGAAATTCGTTTCGAATACTGTGCTTGATCATTTAAATCGTGCTAGAATCGAACTTCAAAAAATCAAGATAGGGTTAGTCGTTCCACATGTTTTAAATGAACAATTTATTTATAATTGTATGCCGAATTCAGCTTCTCTACTTGTTCTTGTTCTTCCGTAATTGGAAAGCCAAATCAAAATTTCCCGATTACCATACAGAGAAACATGAAAATTTTGAACCAAGGCGCAGATTTTCTTCTTTTTCGGACAGGAAGTATCTAATGAATAGAATCAATTCCATTAAGAAAATTTACTTGACTTTTGGGGAAATCAGCTCATCTTGAACACGTCTAAGTTTCTAATTCTAAACTTTCAGACGAAAGAAAATGCAGCTGGACTCACTCTACAAAAAAATTCAAGGGAGCAGAAAAAAATTCGTTGTAGAGAATCCCATGTCTCAAAAAATTCGTTACACAGAAAAAATTTATTTGTTGAGAGAGCCCATCTGTATGCATTATTTAAGTTTTCATGGGACAAATCTTATTCATGGAATCTCCGAGTCAATAAAAAAAATTATTAAATCACTGAGGATACGTTCAGCTCCGACGACATTTCAAAAGAAGGAATACTCGTACTTGATGATTTGATAGCCAGTTGTCAATGATAACCAGAAATTATGTTGATTTTCATCAGACAAGAAAAAAAAAACATCAGACGTAAAGTACAATATTGTAAATTCATGCAGTAGTAACCCTGTTCCGCCTCAAAAAATCATCTTCAAATGTAACTTCAAAAATTACAGGCCCGGAATTACACCTTTAAAAAATTGTTCAAGTCGAGTGAATATTATTTCTACTGAGCTTGAAGCTGTTCTCGCACATTTTTCTTCCAGTTCCAAACTCAATGAAGTATCCCAAAATATTGACGATATCGCGATGAAATTTCCTCCAAATTCAAAATACCAAACGAAAAATACGCAGTTTAAAACATCAGTAACCAACATATTTTAAGCCACAAAAATACTGTATGCGAGGATGATTGTTTCATTATTACGTCGAAGAATTAATAGAAAGCTTTCGCACGGTACAAATTCACTTTTAATTATACAGTATCTGAATGTTTTCAACATCAATCAAGAACCACATTAGAAATGGGCCCCCTTTTTCATATTAAAAATTTAAAAAAATTACCAAAGCCACTAGACGCGAGGGAAAACTACGTTAAGGATTCAGTAAGACCACANGGTAAATTATTTTCGGGATTAAACTGAAGCAAAGATGAGGATCCTGAAGGAACGGATACGTGACCGGAAATTACACTTCCGACAACCGAACTATCAGTTCATATCTTCCCAGTTGGTAATGAAACTATAACCTTGACGTCACAACATTGGGATAGGCGTAGAATAATTTGATTGAAAGGGGTTCATGGAAACAGGAAATTCGATTAATGACGAAATCGAAGATCTCTGGTGGAGTGTCCAAAAGTTCACTTGATTAAACACTACAGTAATTATAGAAAACTCGTTCATTTCATATTGAAAATTAGGAAGCCTATTTCCCAATTGGATTATATAATCCAATATCCAAGAGTACCTTTTGAAAAATTAACTTTGGCCGATATCAATGAAATTTGTTTCGAATACTGTGCTTGATCATTTAAATCGTGCTAGAATCGAACTTCAAAAAATCAAGATAGGGTTAGTCGTTCTACATGTTTTAAATGAACAATTTATTTATAATTATATGCCGAATTCAGCTTCTCTACTTGTTCTTGTCCTTTCGTAAATTGAAAGCTGAATGAAAATTCCCCGGTTACCATACAGAGAAACATGAAAAATTCGAACCAAGGCGCAGATTTTCTTCTTTTTCGGACAGGAAGTATCTAATGAATAGAATCAATTCCATTAAAAAAATTTACTTGACTTTTGGGAAAATCAGCTTATCTTGAACACGTCAAGTTTCTAATTCTAAACTTTCAAACGAAAGAAAATACAGCTGGACTCACTCTACAACAAAATTCAAGGGAGCAGACAAAAATTCGTTGTCGAGCATCCCATGTCTCAAAAAATTCGTTACACAGAAAAAATTTATTTGTTGAGAGAGCCCATCTGCATGCATTATTTACGTTTTCATGGGACAAATCTTATTCATGGAATCTCCGAGTCAATAAAAAAAATTATTAAATCAATGAGGATACGTTCAGCTCCGACGCCATTGCAAAAGAAGGAGTACTCGTACTTGACGATTTGATCGCCAGTTGTCAATGATAACCAGAAATTATGTTGATTTTCATCAGACAAGAAAAAAAAACATAAGACGTAAAGTACAATATTGTAAATTCATGCAGTAGTAACCCTGTTCCGCCTCAAAAAATCATCTTCAAATGTAACTTCAAAAATTACAGGCCCGGAATTACACCTTTAAAAAATTGTTCAAGTCGAGTGAATATTATTTCTACTGAGCTTGAAGCTGTTCTCGCACATTTTTCTTCCAGTTCCAAACTCAATGAACTATCCCAAAATATTGACGATATCGCGATGAAATTACCTCAAAATTCAAAATACCAAACGACAAATACGCAGTTTAAAACATCAGTAACCAACATATTTTAAGCCACAAAAATACTGTATGCGAGGATGATTGTTTCATTATTACGTCGAAGAATTAATAGAAAGCTTTCGCACGGCACAAATTCACTTTTAATTATACAGTATCTGAATGTTTTCAACATCAATCAAGAAACACATTAGAAATGGGCCCCCTTTTTCATATTAAAAATTTAAAAAAATTACCAAAGCCACTAGACGCGAGGGAAAACTACGTTAAGGATTCAGTAAGACCACAGAAGCGTATTTCACGCATTTTCGGTGAAAATAAGAAAGAAAAGAAAACCTTTCAGACGTAAGACCCATCAAGTAAAAACACTTTCTGGGACGAAAAATGAAGCCACTGGAAGAGGCTCACCCGAAAATGCCTCAAGGCCAAGATACGCTTTCACCCGATTATTTAGGCCACGCGTCAGGAAGACGAAAAGGGGACACTTATTTTTTATTTCTTTAGCTACACTAGTGTTAGTGGGCTTACTTTATTTTCTTTTTAGTGGCCAGGGAAACCCTAGATATGGGACAGTATTATACGCTACGTCCATGAATATCCATGGACTTATTTGACGTGCATCTGCTTTTCCAAACCATTGTATCCCTTCAAAATTACTTTAAAAAAAACATGTTCTCGAATAAAACAAATACTTCACCTCAAAATATTTTTTTTACACGCATCGAATGATCGAAGAGAAATAGAGAGAAGACCCAATTTTTAGCTTCTGCAATTCACAGTTGGACTATACCTTTTTAAAACGAAAATTTCTCACGGGATTATGCATGTACTCCAGCTAATTTATTCAAGACTTTGAAATAAAAGCTGTATTCATCCATAAAACATGAAGTCGGCCCTTTTGTTCATGTCAAGCAACATTTGAATATTCCTTCGCAACCGGCGCAGTTTTGGACTAGACTTATTCAGTCATCAATCGATTAGACACTAAACGTAAAAAATCCAGAGATAAATCTTATCAATCTCATAGGCCACGCGTCAGGAAGACGAAAAGGGGACACTTATTTTTTATTTCTTTAGCTACACTAGTGTTAGTGGGCTTACTTTATTTTCTTTTTAGTGGCCAGGGAAACCCTAGATATGGGACAGTATTACACGCTACGTCCATGAATATCCAAGGACCTATTTGACGTGCATCTGCTTTTCCAAACCATTGTATACCTTCAAAATTATTTTAAAAAAACATGTTCTCGAATAAAAAAATACTTCACCTCAAAATCTTTTTTTGTACACGCATCGAAGAGAAATACAGTAGAGAGAAGACCCAATTTTTAGCTTCTGCAATTCACAGTTGGACTACCTTTTTAAAACGAAAATTTCTCACGGGATTATGCATGTACTCCAGCTAATTTATTCAAGACTTCGAAATAAAAGCTGTATTCATCCATAAAACATGAAGTCGGCCATTTTGTTCATGTCAAGCAACATTTGAATATTCCTTCGCAACCGGCGCAGTTTTGGACTAGACTTATTCAGTCATCAATCGATTAGACACTAAACGTAAAAAATCCAGAGATAAATCTTATCAATCTCGATTCCAAGTAAGGTATTCGAATAAATAGCCTCTCGGAACACTTTTCTTTCTACTTGAAAACACTTCTTGTAGAAGAAAAACAAGAATGGAACTACAGAACAGTATTATTCCCATGAAGTTCCGATAATCCAAGGGAAATCTCGATCCTAGTCACTGCTGCTGATCACATAGTTCAAGCATCGAATCGATATGTCATTCCCATTTGCAAAACTAATCTTTTTCCCCCACATAGAGTGAAAATCCGGAATACATCCGATTTAACTTAGGGCATCTAACTTCGCTAAACGAGTTTTCGAATAATTCATTATTCTTCCGAAAGAATAGAGTTCGGATTTGTCTTGCCTCGATCATTTCAAAAACTTGAGCGACAAGATTTAATTCGAACCTAACAAAAATTCAGGAATACTAGAAAAATCGATCAAGATACTGTAAATCAATTGAATACCTAGACGTCGGATGAAAGTAAAAGTGTCCGATGACATGAGATTAATGAATACTCATTTGGTCTTTAAAGGCTTTACGACTCTTTAAGTTAAATATCTGAAAAAGTCTTATTGTTCTTCGTTTCACTGGAGACAATGAAGGAAACACTTGACTTTGAATAGTCGACATCTTCGGGTTAATTGCTTTTCAAGCCCTTTTTGAAAGTGAGTGGTTTAATTCGCTTAAGACATTTTCCTCAGAAAAAGTTGCTGAATTTCCCCTAAATGATTCGCCCATTACACTCACATGCCTCAAAATGTATCATTTGCTATATTTCAGTTGCTTTGATACAGAACATTCAAATATTGTACATTTTCTCTTGAATAAGTTGCTGAATTTCCCGGAAGTGATTTGCCTATCACATTCACCATTCACATGTCTTGAAATGTTGGAAAAGTTTTTACCTACTTATCACGCGCAGGCTACTTTTTACCTTCAAAATTTGAAAACAATTATGCGTGTGGTGCCTGAGTAAACACGGAATATCCTTCCCTTGATTATTTTTTGGTCTTCCCCGTCAATCAGTACCAAGATATGGAGATCATAAAAGCATTAACCACCGTTTGTGCACTGGACTCGTCAAATATTGACGGAAAATAAAAGGATTTATTTCGTGCATGTCATGAAATCATCAAACAGAGAAACTTCCTATGCAGTGCAATTATTTACCCATACTGTATATATATGCCCCCTTCCAACAATAAAACAAGTTCTCAAATCGTGAGAAAATTAGAAATAAAGAAAACCAAAGCAAAACTCACCTGAGTTGAGATCACCACTCAGCATCGACCGAGAACCGGCGGGGAGAGCAAATAAAGAAAAAAGAGAACCCAGGTGCTCGTGCTCGTCAAGAACCCAGAAACATGGGACAGTTGCAGGAAAAAAAGACGAGCGAAATTTCCCAGTCCCTTCTGAGTTCACTCCTGGTTCTTATTTGCTCAAAGACGAGCACGAACAGAACATAACACACAATGTTCAACACACCAGAGCCGGTTTATTTTTTTGCTTTGTTTCGAGAAAATGAGAAGATAATCGAAGCACTTCTTTCCGTCGCACGAACAGGGGAACAATCGACGAAATTCCGAACCCGGGGGCTTGTCAAGCGATTAAAACAAGCAGATATCGAAAAAGAAAGATGGACGTTTCCTGTGAACAAAAAGGAAACGAGTTAATCGCACAAAAAAAAGATATGCAGCATAGTAAGAAAAAATCATTGATAAAAATCAACGAAAATCACGGCGTAGTTCGAGCATCGAAATAAGAAATCAGAAACAAGACTAAACTGTTCACTCGATTCATACAACATTCGGAATAGCTCAGAGAACCGTTGAAACCTTATAAGGAACATCCAGGTACAGTATTCCAAAACATGAGCTATGACAGACAGGTTCAGATAATAAGTACTTCGATAATATCCTCGACACATCAGCAAATGTTTGAAGCCTTAAAAGAGACAACCAGGCTTCTTGAAAATAAGCCCTGAAACAGTCTTACAGGATTATGTTTTTGACATGAGCATTGAACCGAAAAGTAGATCTTTACCAGCAAATTTGTATTCTTTTTTTCATCATTGGCAGTAAAAACTAAATATCTTAATTCAGGTAGACATACTAAAAACGCCCTATTTAAAAAAATACTGTATTGTCTTTATGATGAAAGTTCTTCTAATCCTGCAAGAAACTACAAATCCAAATAAAAAACTAATCCATTCCTGGATGCCTTTGTTACGCAAACTATTGTATTTGTTACGTAAGACATTTGTCCCTTGCTCAAGTTACGATTGAAAAATGTAATCCATTCCAGGCACCCATAAAATGACAATAAAACTCTTAAAATGTTAGCGTAATATTTGGAATTTAAGCTTGAATACTGCACAATGGATGTTAGCTTGACAATTCAAGATAATTTTCGGTCCCTGAATGTCAAAAATTCTCTGCTGTACACAAGAAAGATAAAATAAAAATCTTTTCTTTTCCTTGAAAAAATGTTTAAATTAAAGTTTACTTGAAGTCGAGGGACTTTTTGCCAGACAATTTTTTTCTATGTGCAACACTTGTTGCGTGTCAATTTTCCCCCTTGAGAAATTTGTCAATGCATATTTTTAAACGGTACAGATTCTTTGTAAAAAAAAAACTTTTCAGTTAATTAATTTACCACGATAGTCATCAGTTCGGGAAGAAATTGACCAAACTTATTTGTCGAGACTATTTTTCCCCATGTTTCATTCACGCAGCTTGAATTCCTTGAAGTAGATACATTGAGATTAAAAGCATGTTTGCTTTCTGATGTTTCTGCTGAGACCTTCAAATCATGAAGGAATCTCACCTGGATTTCGAATCGAAAAATGTTCATCACTGACATCACTCACATTTTTAAATACGACTGTTCGGAGGTGAATTAAAAGCACACTTTTGATAATTTT